TTTTTTTTTTGAGATGGAGTCTTGCTCTTGTCGCCCAGGCTGGAGTATAGTGGTACGATCTCGGCTCACTGCAACCTTCGTTCCTGGGTTTAAGTGATTCTCCTGCCTCAGCCTCCTGAGTAGCTGGGATTACAGGTGCCCACCACCATGCCCGGCTAATTTTTGTATTTTTAGTAGAGACGAGGTTTTGCCATGACTGGTCTCAAACTCTTGACCTCAGGTGTTCTGCCCACCTCGGCCTCTCAAAGTGCTGGGATTACAGGCATGAGCCACCGCTCCCAGCCACCTGAAAGGTGTTTCTAACAAAACCTTATGGCATTGCATCCAGGTTTTGACGAGTTTGGGTCCGTGGACTTCAGTGGCACGTTCTATGTAAACACTGACCGGGATGACGACTATGCCGGCTTCGTCTTCGGGTACCAGTCAAGCAGCCGCTTCTACGTGGTGATGTGGAAGCAGGTGACGCAGACCTACTGGGAGGACCAGCCGACGCGGGCCTATGGCTACTCCGGCGTGTCCCTCAAGGTGGTGAACTCCACCACGGGGACGGGCGAGCACCTGAGGAACGCGCTGTGGCACACGGGGAACACACCGGGGCAGGTGAGGCTGGCCAGCCGGGCCCATGCATCTCGTGTGCCACTGTGGCTGAGGGGCGTTTCAGCAGGACTAGCCCAACCCCGAGACCCCAATTTTGTTTTAATCAATTTTAACTCCAGGCACAGTTATTTTAATAATTTTACTTTATTATAGACACTGTGCCTGGGGTTACAACTCAACACATTTGATTATTACCCGTTAAACACAGTTGCTAATCCCCTTACAAATTAAACCTCTTTTACCTTCCTCTGGAGAACAGGAGTGAGCACAGGACATAACGATCAGATATAATATGAAAAACATTTTTTTTTTTAATTGGAGATAGGTAGAACTGAATATCAAAACTTTAAGTATTTTGCCCAACATCCCATATCAAGGAAAGAGAAGATCCAGACATGAACCCAGGAATCTAGGGTCAGGTGCCTGGGCTCTTCAATCCAGGAATCTGAGGGTCAGGTGCCTGGGCTGTCAGCCCTGAGTCACACTCTCTGTCCATGGGCTTCAATCCACAGTAGAGATTTGGATGATAAACACATCAGAGAGAGATGGAGCACCATGAACCTTAAATGTGAACTTTCAGAGTCATGTTTTTGCTTCCTGCTTGGTGTTACGGGGCTCTGGTTAAGGTCCTGGGTGCCCATGGCACTCAAGAGTGCTGTGTTCTCCCTCAGGTGCGAACCTTATGGCACGACCCCAAGAACATTGGCTGGAAGGACTACACGGCCTACAGGTGGCACCTGACTCACAGGCCCAAGACTGGCTACATCAGGTGAGGGCAGGTCAGCGCAGCTGCATTTCTTCCAAGGGGCTTCCCATCGGACGGCACATTTGAACATTAATAGACAAATAAGCTCGAGTGAATTCTAATTTTTTGTTTTACTCTAGATTCTTCAGCATTAACTGCCTTCTCTTTTCTATCCTGCATCTCTACTAAATATTACATATTTTTAAAAAACGGTTGAAAAGGAGAACATACAATCTGCTTTGTTTTTAAAATGACTTTTGGGATGATAACCGTATTTTCTCCTAATGAATAGCCCAGGCAGGGGAGAACACCTGCAATTAGAATAACTGCATCTTTGCAGAATTAGCATGTGCTTTATTGGAGACTAGATTTGTACCTGTTTCTGATGATGTAGATGGCTGAATTTAAAACACGGTTGTATGAAGTTTTGACACGGTTAGCCCAACAGAATCTTTTCCTTTGGCTTAACAGCTTTTGTAATTGATTTTTATTGAAACAAAATGTGGTCAATTTAAAATCAAGGTATTTTCGTTTTTGTTTCTTCAAAGTTAATAAGCACCAAGATCAGGCCAGACTCTGTACAGATGCCAGGAGTGTGTGAGTCCCTGGCAATAGTGGGCAGATCTGTGTGGGTGAAGTGCAGGCTCATGGCCTGGCTGGAACGTTTCCCTAGAGGGCCTCCCATTTATTCACACTTACGCCCCATCCTCCCATTGGGGGCTTGGTGTATCTGGTCCTGCTCCCACACAGATTCCACAGTGGGGAGGAAAGTCAGTGAGCTCATGATTTTAGCACATGGTGAAGTAGGGAGAGTCCAGTGCAGCTTCCCAGGAAGTGGGAAGTTTCCTCCTCACCCCACCAAAGGCAGGGTCTCCTCTAAAGCCCTTGCCCGGGTGACTGTAAGTGAACTCACAGATTGTGACAATGGTGTGGTTGCAAGAAGGAAGGCGTGCCCTGGATCAGTGCTGCACCAGGGGTGGCTGGAGCTCCAAAGGAGAAAGCCAGCAATGCCCCCTGGGGCACTGAAGCCCTGGGCAGGGTATCCACAGCTCGTGTCGGGAGCCGACCTGCCACCACTGGTGAATGCTTCATGGAGTTCATGCTCTGTTTCTTTCCTCTTCTTCTTTTTACAAACCATTTTTAGAGTCTTAGTGCATGAAGGAAAACAGGTCATGGCAGACTCAGGACCTATCTATGACCAAACCTACGCTGGCGGGCGGCTGGGTCTATTTGTCTTCTCTCAAGAAATGGTCTATTTCTCAGACCTCAAGTACGAATGCAGAGGTGAGTGTGAGTGCTTTAGGTTAGTGGGGAAGGCATGTGGCACCCAGAAAGGGAAAGTGCACTTTTCCACTTACAAAAGCTGTACATCAGGGCAATAAACTTAATGCACGATACCACATGAGACCCCCGCACATTCCAAGCAGCCATTTCATTTGGTCAGCTTGGATTGTTGTTTGTGGTAATTGCATTTCGATGCCTCTGGTAGAACACTTTCCAATTATTTATAGGTCCCACCCATCCTCATTGTGCCATATCCTAGAGTTTCCTAGATTTCCTCCACCTTCCAGGCTCCCGACGCCATTTTAGATTGGTACCCTTGCATTAGCAATGGCAGGCAGGCAGGAAGGAAGGAAGGAAAGAAGGAAGGGGTTTCTCTATAGTTATCTCACTACAAGTATATTTGAATCAAAATATTATAGACCTGGAAGATAACTTGAATCCCATCTGCTGTAATTCCATGACTTCACGTGCACATTACCCTTCCACAGATGCGGGAAATAAGGCTCAGGCTGCTTCTCAAAAATTACACATTGAAAATCATGTGTTTGGCTGGGGGCAGTGGCTCATGCCTGTAATCCTAGCCCTTTGGGAGGCCAAGGCGGGTGGATTCCCTGAAGTCAGGAGTTCAAGACCAGTCTGGCCAACAGGGCAAAACCCTGCTGGGGTTGATTTCTCTGTTTGTTCTGTGGAAGTTTTCTTCTTATGTTAGGATGACTTCCAAGGCATCTCATTTCCTCCCATCCATCCATATCATTCATCCACCCACCCATATATCTCATCCATCCACCCATCCATCCATCCATCCATCCACCCATCCGCCCATCCATCTCATCCATTCACCCAACCATTCACCTCATCCATCCATCCATTCATTCATCCATCCACCCACCCACACACCCACCCATCTCATCCATCCATCCATACATCCACCCATCTCATCCATCCATCCATCCATCTATCCATCCATCCATCCATCTACCCATCCACCTATCCATGTAATCCATCCACCCACCCACCCACTCATCCATCTCATCCATCCATCTACCCACCCATCCACACAACCATTTCATCCACCCCCACCCACTCATTATCCCATCCATCCTTCCATCTCATCCACTCACCCACCTACTCACCCATCCATCCACCCACATATCCATCCATCTCATCCATCCATCCATCCATCCATCCATCCATCCATCCATCTCATCCATTTATCCACTCACTCATCATCCATCCATCCAGCCACCACTCATCCATCTATCTTATCCATCCATCCATCTCAGTCACCCACTCACCCACTCACTCATTCATCTCATCCATCCACCCACCCATCTATCTCATCCATCCATCCATCCATCTCATCCACCAACCCATTCATCCATCCATCCATCCACCCACCCACCCATCCATCCATCCATCTCATTCACCCACGCACCTACCTCATCCATCCATCCATCCACCTATCTCATCCATCCATGTCATCCATCCATCCATTCATCTCATCCATCTCATCCATCCATCTAGCCATCCATCCATCCATCCATCCATTCATCTCATCCATCTCATCTATCCATCCATCCAGCCATCCATCCATCCATTCATCCACCCATCCGCCCATCCATCTCATCTATTCACCCAACCATCCATCTCATCCATCCATCCACTCATTCATCCATCCACCCAACCCACACACCCATGCATCTCATCCATCCATCCATCCATCCATCCATCCATCCATCCATCCATCCATCCATTCACCCAACCACCCATCCACCTATCCATCTAATCCATCCACCCATCCACCTCATCCATCCATCCATCCACCCACTCACCCATCCACCTCATCCATCCATCCACCCACCCACCCATCCACCCATCCATTTCATCCACCCCCACCCACTCATCTATCCCATCCATCCATCCATCTCATCCACTCACCCACCCACCCATCCATCCATCCATCTCATCCACCCACCCATCTCATCCATCCATCCACCTATATCATCCATTCATCTCATCCATCCATCTGTCTCATCCATCCATCCATCCATC